AGAGACGGTGGATGGAGTTGATAAAAGACTACCACCTGGTGATTGAGTACCATCCAGGCAAGGCCAATGTGGTGGCAGATGCCTTGAGCCGGAAAAGCTCATCTGGGGCATTGATAGCTAACTTGAGGGCTTTAAGAGCCCAACTGGAGGTATCCAGTAATGGAGCCTTATTGGCACGATTTGAGGTGAGACCTACTTTGCTTGATGAGATCAAGAAGGGTCAGGAAACTGACGAGGAAATCATAAGGATCCGAGAACGCATGCAAGCGGGACCAGTGGAGGACTTCAGGGAAAGAGATGACGGTCTCTTATTATTTCGTGACCGAGTGTGTGTGCCGGCAGATGGGGAGCTCCGAAAGTCCATCTTAGAGGAGGCTCATTCATCGGCTTATGCCATGCACCCAGGGGGCACGAAGATGTATCGTGACTTGAAAGAAAGTTACTGGTGGTCTGGTATGAAGAGGGAAATAGCCGAGTACATCAGTCGATGCCTTACTTGTCAGCAAGTCAAGGCAGAACATCAGCATCCAGCGGGGTTATTGCAGCCACTTTCCATTCCAGAATGGAAATGGGAACACGTGACTATGGATTTCGTGGTAGGGCTACCACGGACTGTGAAGAACTATGATGCCGTATGGGTTGTGGTTGATAGGCTCACGAAGAGTGCACATTTTCTACCTATCAACACCACCTATGCACTGGAGAGGTTAGCCAAATTGTATGTGGATGAGATCGTGAGGCTACATGGGATTCCTATAACCATTGTATCCGACAGGGATCCACGATTCACATCACGATTTTGGCCGAAGTTCCAAGAGTCTATGGGGACAAGATTGAAGTTTAGCACTGCTTTTCATCCCCAGACAGATGGGCAATCCGAGAGGGTTATACAGATTTTAGAGGATATGCTGAGAGCCTGTGCATTGGAGTTCCAAGGAAGTTGGGACAACCATTTAGCACTTGTTGAGTTTGCCTATAACAATAGTTATCAGGCAAGTATCGGCGTGCCTCCATACGAGGCATTGTATGGGAGGCGATGTCGTACGCCTTTGTGTTGGGACGAAGTTGGCATGGCCAAACTTGAGAGCACAGAATTGGTGGAGATCACCAAGACAAAGGTGAAGATGATTCGTGATAGGCTTAAGGCAGCCCAGGATAGACAAAAGAGCTATGCCGATAAACGCCGGAGAGCCTTAGAGTTTAAGGTGGGAGATGAGGTGTTTCTGAAAGTTTCACCTTGGAAAGGGATCATCCGTTTTCAAAGCCGAGGGAAACTTAACCCACGCTACATAGGGCCATTTGTGATTCTTGAAAGAATTGGGGCCGTAGCATACCGATTGCAGTTGACTCCAGAATTGGAGAAGATACATAATGTGTTCCACGTGTCTATGCTAAAGAAATATGTGCCGGATCCGTCTCACGTGTTAGAGAAACCACCCGTGGAAATACGTGAGGACTTGAACTATGCCGTTCGACCGGTAAGGATACTTGATAGGCAAGTAAAGAAGTTGAGGAGCAAAAGAGTTCCAATGGTTAAAATCCTTTGGAAAAGTGACCGAGTTGAAGAAGAAACTTGGGAAACGGAGGCTTTAATGAAGGAACAATACGCATTTCTTTTTGAACGAGCATTGTGAATTTCGGGGACGAAATTCCCGTTAAGGGGGGGTGAACTTGTGACACCGCACCCGGATGTACTTGAATTTGAAACTTAATATGTACTTGAACTTCCTAGCGAATAAATTTCGTGTGATTGATTGATACATTTAATTAATGTGAGATTAATTAAATTATTCTTCGGGTCCATCATATGAAAATGGGCTACCAAATATTTAGTTGGGTCGTCATAATAAATTATAGAAGCCCAATAAAGTGCCAACAAAAGTTGATAAAAATATTTGGACAACCCGAGTGATATTTTGGCCCAAACCTACCGAAAATAACGGGAATAATTGGGAGGGACTTCCTACACCCACTTCGGGTATTTTTACACATCATCTAGCCTCAAAGAAGTGGGGAGGGGGACAAAATAAGGGGGGAGGGGCGTGCATGAAGGAGGAAGCCTCCTTGAGACAAAAACCCACACCCTCCATACCCCACCTTTACATTATGTGTGTTTGATTGAGAAGGAATCCTTCCTATCTCAATACACACCATTCGAACAAGCTAAGGGAGAGAGAGAGCTCAAGGGAAAGTCTTCAACAAGGTCCAAGATTGAAGGTAACATCAACAAAAGAAATCCAAGGAGAAAAGAGTTGTTCTTGAGGTAAGAACACAAGTATTATCCTTTAACTAGTATTATTTTTGTATGATTTTTAAGAAATCATATGGTGGATTAAACATGAAGTTCTACACGTTTAAAAGTGTAGAATAATGTTATAAAGTGGTGGTATTTAACTTAGAAGAGTCGTGGAATCGATAGGAGTTGAAATCGCCGGAAACCGCCAAGTATAGGAGGCTGTTCGTAGCTGCAGACCACGAAAGCCGCCCACCTTTCACGAAAGCCGCCCGGCTTTCGTCTGCTGCCCAGATTTTTCATCTCCAAACGGTTTAGAACGGGGATTGATCGAAGGGCTTAACAAGGACAACTATTTCAGCACTTCATAAGGTGAGGATGGCTGACTATGTTGTTTATAATCTTTGGGTTAATTTCGTAAGATTACCTAAAGTAATTGAATGTTATTTTCATGGATTATTAATGATTAATAATGCCTAAATGAAAATATTGTTGTCAATGAATAAAGGAGCATAATATACAAATTTAAGGATAAATTGTGTATGATTATGTAATATGAGCATATTGGCTTGATGAAGGGATTAACTATGAATATTATGTTGAAATATAATTTTAACTTCATATAAGGATATATGAGTGATTAAAGATTATATTTTGTATATTGATATGAACTATATTTTCAATGGAAGATTAGTTTGAGAATTGTCTATATGACTATGAACTGAAATGAGATTTTGTTGGAACTTATCCGACTAGTATAATGATACTAGTCGGGGTTTTGGAATGAAATATGTTAGAATTGATCCAAGGTTTGGATTGTGAATTGTTGAGCCTTAAGTAGTCTTAAGAGATACTAAGGTGGATAGTGATGCTAGGGGTAGGCCTTAAGGGATACCCAAGATAAAGTGAATAATAAATTGATCCTAGGAATAGGATTGGCCTACGGGTGTATTCGGTAGTCTTTAAGGATTAGCCGATAGAGTATTGGTAATTAGTAAGGACCATGGCCCTTCCCGACTCTAGAGAGCGGGGTTGGATAGCATGGACTTACATCGTGATCACGGGTTAGGGTGGAATCCGAACCGGAGACCTTACGAGGCTCCCGACAGCGGTAACACATAAGATAGGACCCCGAATGGACCTTACCTTCCTACGGGACGATGGGTATGAGTTCAGGGGCGGGATGTTGGACTCCGGCCCGAGAACCCGGTGAGGCCTCGGAGAGCGGTGACAAGTCTCGTAAAGGATGATAAGACCTACGGGCGGTGTCGTGCTAACGACGGGTATAATGAAATATATGAAATGGGCCGTGTGCCGACAAATAAATAAATTTACTTATTATAGAGATAATAAGTGGGAAATATAAATTATTATTTATATTATGATATCACCCTATTTTGAGGGTCTTAGAAATTGAAACATTGATTATACTTGGTATAGTTGTCATTGTACTTGTCAAATGCTTCCAAGTACTGACCTCCCCTTCACGGGGGAGGCCACCTCACAGTTTCAGGTAGGGAGTAGAGCTTGCTACCAGTGCCCGTTGCCTCGGGAAGATCTAGGAAGGAAGACGTGGTTCGTGCTTCCTCCGTCTCTATTTTAAAAACATTTCAATTAATGCTCATGGATATTTTTGAATGATTATTGGGGCTTGTATGCCCATGTTTGCCGGAGTGTGGCATAAACACTTGTATTAAACGTTTCCGCTGACTTCAATTGATTATTTTACATTATGTTTGTTTATGGATGTACTATTGTGAATGATATTCAAGACGCCTAGTATAGTATGGATGAGTTGGACTGCGGTTGACTATTCGTACTGTACGGCGGGTTGTTGACGTGTCCGGTAGGTCCGGGGCGTGACAGAAGCGATAAGGCTTGTTTGGCCGCTAAAAGCTTCGAAACTCTCACATGGTTCGCGAATAGTCTCGCTCTTTTTGGGGTGGTCTATTCTAAGTCTAACCAGAGAGTGGGAGGGCCTTTGGGCTATGCGGAACCTCACGAGGAGGTTTGGCATTACAAGGGAGGAAGTACTCTTAGAGTTTTGATTGAGGAGTCTGGTTTTGTAAGGGGAGGTACGTTTTTGACAAGTTTGATTGATTAATATAAGCAGCTTTTCTTTCAAAAAAAAAAAAAGAATTCGAATATTTGGTTGGTAATTTCATATTTTTGCCAAAATAATGGCAGTTTGTGGTGTTCTTCCAAGATGAATCTGTCACTTTTTGGTATATCTGAAACCTCATATTAATGGCAGATTTGTAATCAATCTTCATAGCTAAATCTGCCAACCTAATGGCAGATTTATGGCGCTGGACTTGTGACAGCGGTAGAGGTGTAGTGGTGGCGCCAAATTTAACATTGGCGACAACGACGAAGTTGTGACGACGGCGGAGGATGGCAACACCGGTGGGCGGCGATGATGTACCGGCAGGGATGCGGCGGTAGGCGCCGGTGACTGGCGGTGACAGCAGTAGGCGGCGCTACAGGAGGGTGGCGGTGGCGGTGGGTGGTGGTGGCGGCGGACAGCGACCCGGTGTGGGAGGCTGCGTCTCCAACGCGTCTCCAACTACGTCTCCAAGATTTTGAACTTTTATGAATTTCCTATGCAGTAAGTGTTGCCTTATTAAAAATAAGGTTATTATGGTCCACTCAGGCTTAAATGAGTCCTACTAAACATTACTTAAAGCACTCCTATTTTAGCAATTAGTGTTTCTTTTAGTCCTATATATATATATATATATTGAATAATTAACTCTAATAAATTTGAGCAAAATTTAAACTTGAGCTAATAGCTGATCCTCCGTTTAAATCGAATAAATAGCTAATCTTCCGAGTATTTTGATCTCGTAGAAACCTGCATGTGCCATACGCTTCCAAAGAAAACATGGCGGAACAGGAAGAGGTTCTGGCGGAACTGGAGGCATTAGAAGCCGTCTATGGAGACGATTGTACAATTCTCTGCAAGTATCCTCCAATTTTTCATCTTCGTATAAAGCCTCGAACCGCTGATGTCACCTCTCAACAGGTTGCTCTCTTCCGCCCCTATCTGATAGGCCATTGCGCTTATCCGCTACTTGTGTAATGAGGTTTTATCTGATTCTATGTTATACGCACTGAAGTCCAGAATCTACATATAGTTTGATGATCAAATCAGTCAATAACTTATGCTATTAAAAGACACCAATTATGAGAGGAAATAGTCAAGTTATTGAACTTTATTCTTTGCTGTAACTCTGGCCCAACTTTGCTGTATTTTTTAGTTTTCCTGCTTTACGTTTCCATGGCAACCTAGATTATTATTTCTTAAGATTTTAGTGTTTGTCTTTATTGCTACAATCTTGCTTGATTCAAGCACAACTATTTCGTAAAAGATGTACTTTGTATGGATGTATGATAGATCAATTTTATCAATGTGGAAAAGGAGGTAGTATTAGATATTGATTGCAGTTTTCGGGTCATACTCCTTTTCCACATTGATAAAAATTGATCTATCATACATCCATACGAAGTACATCTTTTACGAAATAGTTGTGCTTGAATAAAGCAAGATTGTAGCAATAAAGACATACACTAAAATCTTAAGAAAGAATAATCTAGGTTGCCATGGAAACGTAAAGCAGGAAAACAAAAAAATACAGCAAAGTTAGGCCAGAGTTACAGCAAAGAATAAAGTTCAATAACTTGACTATTTCCTCTCATAATTGGTGTCTTTTTAATAGCATAAGTTATTGACTGATTTGATAGTCAAAAACTATATGTAGATTGGGACAAGAGGGTGTGGTGCGGTTTTTAAGAAAAGTGGAATTGTGTGGTTAATATTGAATTTGTAAAGTGTGAATAAAGTAAGAATGAATTGTAACCACTCAAATATATCAAATATGGTATGAGAGAAACTTAATGGGACGGACGAAAAAGGTAAAATGGGAAAATGTAAGTGGGACGGAGGGAGTAGTTGTTATCTATGATGCATCAATTGCTATTAATGTTGTATGATGCCTTAATTATTAGCAATGTTTTGAAGGATGAGTGATACACAGGCCCAAGGTCCTAAACAGAATGACCATCAATTGTTATCAACGTTGTAAAAAGCACCGGGGCCTCCATCCTAGTGCATAGTACGGAACTAATCAAGCCTGCGTGGATCTATATGGAATAAGATGAGCTTAAGGAAGAATTCTAGCATCTAAGACAACCTGGTCCGTAGGTCGCATTAATTTAGTGTAGGCGGTGATTTTCAGCAATGGTTTTAATAGTGAAGACCTTTCTTGCTTTACGATTCTACAATAACAACAATATTCAATCCTTATTCTTAAAAGATGTGTAGCACACCCTTGGATATTTGACATTACCCCTGGGCGGAGGGATGATGCTGCTCACGGGCGATGAACCTAACCGTAGCGATATTCATATTTTGATTCATGTCACATGATGTGACTATAAGTGATACTGTTGGCCGTCACACGCCTACTACAACCCTATCATTCTTTATGCTGACTTGGGACAGTCATGATACCAAAAATGATCTCATGGCGGAGTTTTCTTGCTTTACGCTTCTATCTTGAACAACTTGTATTTGTGATGCAATGCTTTGTATCTATGCATCTGTGCGTCTCCTGTCATAGAAACAATATTTCTCAATTGTTTTCCTTCTGTTGCAGTTTGTAGAAGCAATTATAAGCATCCAGGCAGGTCCTCAGGTACGCTACGAATAGTAAAAGTTTGCACTTAAGTACACATCCAAAGAAACTGAAGATACATGTATATACCGAGAGATTTGAAAATCATGACCTAAATGCATTACTATGTTACATAGTAGTTAGTATAATAAAGCTTGGGTATCATCTAGTCACTAACTTTTCTCATGTGAGACAAAACTGATTTCTCATCTCATTTGATGAACTGATCTATTATCTTTAGGAAAGCTCCTAATGCATTAGTATGCTACTGCTACATACGTAGTATTAGTTAAGTTAACAAAGCTTGGCTTTCATCCAATACCTATCTTTGTTTGTTTATGACATACATCATGGTATCATACCCTCATCTCATTTTCCTGAAATGCATCTCTATGCATATTAATTAACTTAACAAAGCTACACTTTAATCTAGTTCCAATCTTTGCTTGTGTGTGACATAAACCACAGTCTCATACCCTCACGGCCTCACCACATTTTCTTGCTGAATGAATTGGTCTATTTAATATCCATAGGACAGTTAAGTACTGGCTACTGATCTTTTAATGGTCAAAGGTCATGCATAATAGTCTTGAACTTGCAAAGGATGCAAGAGAAGGTTTAAACTTATTAAGATGTCTCTTTTTAAAACAGTATCCTAATGAACCGCCATGTATAAGTATAGTTGACTCCAAGGGCCTTGATGATCAAAGGCAAAATAATTTGACAAGTTGGATAACAGAAAAGGCTCATGAACTGTCCTCATGTCTAATGCTTGTATCACTATGCGAGGTACGTTGCAGTTCCTGAGATGTAACTAATTAGTTACTATGTTGAAATAATGATGTAGATGTGTAACCGCACCCCCTCCCACAATCCCACCTCATCCAGAGTTTTTGTGCCTGGTACATGGACACTCTTTGTTTTCCCAACATAGCCAGGACTTTTTATTTCTTAAAATGATAATTCCAACATTGCTTTGGGGATGACTCATGAGTTAGATGCTTTTAACTTTTAGATTTAAGTCCCTAAATAAGAATAAAACATAGTCCATGATCAACAATATGAGTATTGTCGGTGTTTGAAATGAATGATATTCACAACAAAATAAAAACAAGGAATTTCTTATATTCACACTGCTTAAAGTAGCAAATAATAAGATGAAATAATTCTATATATGCTTATTCAGGGTTTATGTTCCTAAACATACATAATAAAGTTGGAATAGTCCTAAACATATAATTAAATAATCCTATAATATTGTAGGGGATATTTCTAAGGAAATCATGAAAATAAGTATTTCCCATGCAAATTTAAATCATGTACTATAGCAGACCACAAATTTCAAATTTATTTCTCACTATACTTTATAGTTAATTTCAGTTGGTTTGTTACAGTTTTAGCATGTTGTGGTCGGCTTTTCTCAACGTAGTCATTTTTCAAATCCAAAGCCATAAAACGAACTAACTAGAGTGAGGTCAGTTTTTGATTGTTTTTTGTTTCATTAGGTTTTATTTCCAATGGAGGTCTCTTTAATATGAACAAAAGTTACAGAACTATATCAATAATTTTTCTCTAAATGTAAACTAAATGTTACTTTATCATCATTAAAGAATAGGGAGGGGGTAATACTGTAAGAGTACAATTTTTATATTGCAGTGGTGTGAGTAATAATACATCAAACCTCAAAGGAGGATCAATGATAATTTCCCTAACTTTAATTGACATTTAAATTTTGAAGCTTATTTCGCTCAATAGTTGGTTTATCCAAAATTCCAAATTACCCCGCACGTATAGTGTGCTATAATTCGATATTTTGACTTTGCACTTGAGTGTGCTATTGAAAAACGATGCATCGGCCCAAAACTTTTTAGGCACATTCATTTGAAATAAAAGAGCCCTTGCAGTTTCTAACAGATGTCGGTTCTTTCGTTTAGCAACTTCATTTTGAGAAGGCGTGTCGACACTTGAAGTTTGATGAATAATGCCATGTTGAAGCATAAATGACTTAAATGGAGCATATATATAGGAAGAAAAATTAGCAAACAACTTAGATCGACGTTTCATAAAATATAACCACGTCATACGAGAATAATTATCAACAAAGGTAGCAAAATATTTAAAACCAGATTTGGGCAAAACAGGACAAACACCCCAAACATCAGAATGAAAAAGATCAAAAGGAGCATTTGCTCGTTTATTAACTCGAGGACTTAAACTAGTACGATGATGTTATGCAAATTGACATGCCTCACATTGTAAAGATGAAATCTTATTAAATTGAGGATATATTTGCTTCATTAGTGGGAGAGATGGGTGTCCTAGTTTGTAATGAGCTTCTAACAAATTTCCAACGCCAAGACAAGAGATATCTTTTTGTGATTGATATATCCAAAGTATAAAGACACAATATCCAGGAAAAAATGTTACATAACAATTAAGGGTACACATGATTTTAGTAGTGGAAAGAAGATTAAAGGCAAAATTAGGAAGACTCAGATCAATTGATAATGGTAATGTAGAAGTTGGAACAACAGTACCAACCCAGTTTACTCCAGGACCCCCCAGCCCCCTCCCCCAGCCCCTCCCTGAAGTAAAAAAAACAGTACCAAATCCGAGAACAGGTGAAGTAGACCCGTTAGCTAAAGTGACACTAAAAATTTGTAAATATGAATGAAATGATGAGAAAAGATAAGGATTTCCGGTCATATGGTCTGAGGCACCTGAGTCAATGACCCATTTCGAGGATGTGGAGACAAGACATGTGTTTGCAGTACTTGAATTAGTGACTACCGAGATAGGAACAGATGAATGCTGTAGAGATTCTTAGTAGCAAAGATATTTGCCATATACATCCGAAGAAAGAGTAATGATCCATAAGATGAATTCGTAGCGGAAGCACCATGAGTGATTTTATTCCCTTGATTTTTGAACATCAACTTTCGACAATCTTTGATTAGGTGCTAGACTTTTTGCAGTAATTGCATATTTGTTCACTGTCAAACTGACCCGAATAAGACATGTTTTTTTCATTTGTTACTGGTGAAATTGTATAACAATGACTTACAAAAATATTTCCGTCACAATTCACGCATAACTGAAGCACCTCCAAAATGGAGTGGGTGGTTTCCCAAACAAGAGCAATGCTTGGTGTACCCCAAATTTGTACACAAAATGTACACTGCCTGTGTACACAGGCATTTTGTCAGAAAATCTGGCCCCTTTTCACACGAATTGCTTGTGTACACAAGCAACTAGGGTAAGTGGGTACAAATTGGGGTACAAATTGGGGTACCTATAACATTTGTGCCCAAATAAAGGCTTTCAAAATCTCATGGAGGTGTGTACGCATACCATATCATAGCCACAGGTGAAAGTATGAGATCTTTTAAACAATCTCCCAACATAATTGAAGGGAAAGGCTTTCTCTAGGTTCAGACTCTTCAACAAGAGCTTTCCAAATACAATGGCGGACGAATGAAAGGAAATGAAATTCAAAATTCGAGAAGACCTGGAAACAAATTACACTGGTAGATAGAGGATACTCAGGCGAGTTGATGGGTGGTATCTGACGAAAATTCTGACCAGCGTCAAGAGCTCACGAGCCGTTGCGTGCAGCGGCCGACGTGAGCTTCTGGCGGCGCGTGCGACACACACACATCAACAACTATGGTTCGGAAGTCAGGGGTGTTGTCAGCGGTGGCAAGAGCACCTTCTAGGAGCGACGGTGATGAAGAAAGAGCTGAAAGCTCTTATGTTCTGTAAACTCAGTTCTCCGAAGAACAAGTTGAGATTCTGAAAATTCCTTAATGCTCTAATAGATCTCTAAATGCTTTGATACCATGTTGAAATATAAACTAGAATCATATTGAAGATGGAGAAAAGGATTTTTTGTGTATTTCATTGGAGGGTTAAGTCCCTTTAAATATACATTACAAAGATATAATATTCCTATAAAATTCTATACAATAATAATATCCTAGAGTATATTCCTAAAATATTCTGAAGCATATTCTAAAGTATATTCTAATATCTTTCACATAAATCATATGTACTAAACTTGTTACAAATAGGGAAAATTCTCGAAATAGGAGTAAAAATGTTCGAAAATTCCAAAATAGAATTGTCATGTTTTTATTCCCTAAATATAAATCATGATCCTAATTATATAAGATGCAGATCGAAGGATGCTGAAATCCATGTCGTCACTCCCTAACTTCCATTGTTGGTGTTCTCCTATTTGTTGAAAAGAGAGGAAGGTGTAGGCCGAAGAGAGACAAAGTGATAGGTGTGACGGTTAGAATAAAAAAATAGGCTTTTGAGTGTTAAGTTATAATGATGGTTGAAAAGTAACGGGGGCTCCTATTTAGGGAATATATAACACATATGTCTATTTTAGAACTTTGGATGTTTTCTTTTGGACTGAAATTTGCTGGTCTGGTTTGGTAAACGTCTGGTCTCTGTGTATTTATAACTACGCAAGTCTGATATGATATGGTCTGGTCTGATCTGAAAACAGTCCAAAAGAAAACATCCTTTGTCAATGTTTTACTCCGATTTGGGGCAATTGCTTGAACTTTTACTAGGATTATGACGAGGAGTCTTTTCAATATTAGATTAACCAAGCAGATTATAAGATATTCATGGCTTTGAATGTTTTCGTAGGAAGCAGTGGAAAGGCTTTCTAGCATTAATCACCCTGATGGAAATTGTCCATTATGTTTGTATCCATTGGTTGATGAAGAGAAAGGGAATAGTGTTTTTCCATTCATGAAGTTGATGTCATGTTTTCACTGCTTTCATTGGTAATATTTATTACTACCTCCGTCCCAAAATACTTAGTCATCTCTTAAATATTGAACCATGATTTTGATTAGTATAATATTATGGAAGTCATAAATTTTATACTTTTATGAAATACTTTTAACAAAAAACATTTTCATATCATTTTTATATTATAATAATTTCCAATAAAAATATATAGTTGGTCAAAGTTTTAAAGATGGCGAAGTATTTTCGGACGGAGGTTACTTTTGTTCTTTAATGGTCATCCTTGGGCCAATAGATGGTGCACAGGTAGCGTTTTATAAATATACAAGTTCTTATGTTCTTTGCAGTGAGTGCATTTTAAGATGGTATAATTGGCTCCAACATTTGAAAGAAACAGATGTTACTCACTCCGTGGGCTCAACTGCATCCCCTAGCAAGGCAGAGGTTCAGCAAGGTACAGTTAAAATGTGTGTGTGTGTGGCATTTTGTCCTTTTTGCCATACAACAAAACGGCTTGTTTAATTTGTTACCTAATGTTATGTGCCTCCTTTTTAGCGGAGGGATTATTAGCATATGTCTCAATGTCGTTGGGAAAATGTTTGTGTTTGTAATTGCTCTCCCTCTCTATGTGGTTGTATAGTATCCATAAGATTGATATCTTTTTCTTCAGCAATTTATTCTATTGCTTCATAAAAATGGCATCAATCATGTATCGAGATAAATCTACCACAAATATTCTCTATTTTGTTACAGTAGTGTCATGCAAGGCTACAACTTTAAGTTCCTATCATCATCATCATTACCCCAGTGTCACAAACGCTCTCACCTACGGTGGAGTAAGGGGGTCGGATGTACGCAGCCTTACCCCTATACTAAAGTATAGAGAGACTGTTTTCGGATGATCCATGGTAAAATCGCATTCAAAAATTGTATGAACTGACTGATGCTTCATAACAAAGAAGCACAGGCAGTTTAGTGAGCCATTTTGTTCTATTCCATCATATTCTCATCTTTGACTCCATTGCAAATGATGGAAAAACAACTTTGAGTTCCTATGTTGCAAACAAAAAAGGATGTGACATAGGATCTGAATGTTGTAGCTTTGTGCTCGAGCAAATGGATATCTGTAATTAATCTTCCCTTTGTATGCTCTACCTAACTTATTCACATCTCTAGGAGAGGAGGATTAATCTGCTCTACGCTTTATATTCTCCAATCTTACGATTTTTTATGTTACTTGCTGCAAAGCTACTATTTATTCTTTCTTTATTTGGAATGCACTTTGAAACAGCAGAAAGTAAGGGCAACTGCCCGGTTTGCCGTAAAGTTTTCCTTGCGAAGGATATAGAACATGTCCACGGCATGGTAGGAATGCAAACACATTGGGTACGTCTTTATATGTTTACTAGCTCAGCTGTGAAACAGCGTAAAAACGCAACTTCATATGAGTTCTTACATGAGAAATGAATTTATTGGTCCGAACGCAAACAATCTACATTATTTGTGTCCCTTCGATGAAAATTGAGATCAGAACAGGAGGGACAAGGACGTGTTAAAAAAATTAAAACTCTATTTTGGGTGATGAATGGTGATAGATGTTTGCATATGAATTTGGCCTTCCAATATGTTTATTCTTCTCTTGGATTTTTTCGTTTTGACTCTGCAGGGTTCATAATATCAGATTGCGGGAGTGGGTGGATTTGTGTCTTTCTTATCAATTTAGCTAGTTATTCACATTTTTCTGTTAGGAAGTATATGCCTTTTCTGCTAAGTTTGCATGTGTATCTACAAACAAATTTCAGATTTCCGATGGAGTTGGAATGAACGATCAAGACATGATTCTTCATTGTGATTTTGAGAAAATCAGAAGGAATAGATTTGATGCTATATTGAAAATCCAAGAACAGAAGGGTGGGTTAATAGAAGCTGAAACACGTGAAGTTGTACGTCCACCTGGTGTTTACCTTCTTCAGCGATCGACAGTGGATGATGTCAAAGAACCAGATGATCAACAACATGAAAAAGAAGACCCCCCTGGAAATTCTCAAACAACTTCATCATCAAACGGCCATGCTGCAAAAAAGAACTTCACTAGGAGACATAAACCAAGAAAGCAAGTTAGGCAGTGGGTCAAGAAATAAAACATTACCACCAAGTTAGCACATTTGAATCTCTTTAAATTAGCTATTTAACTCGCATCTTTTTCTTTCATCATATGTGATGTGTGAATCGTTCACATCGAGTCTGCTGAAGGAAATCATATTTCCTACTTTGCCATCTTAAATTTACTAGTCTGTTATCTTTTTTTTTTACGTGACACCAATAATATTGGAAATAATTACTAAAATGATTCCTTAGACTTTTCAATGGATAAAAATGAGACGATGGCCCTTGCGTTGTATGGTTATGTTAAAAGAACAGACATAATTCTTATTTTCAAAAGAATTTGGAATTGGCTAATACTCCATATGAATTGACATATGATATCAGAGTCAAAGAATACTTCATCCGCCTTATTATTTTCTTTCTTAGTTGTTCCAAAACCTTGGTAACTTTCCCTTTTGATCAATTAATTTGTGATTCTTGTTATATCTTCTTCTGTACAAATCTCAACAACATAGTTTTTATTTTATTATAAATCGTTGTGCTGGTTAAATTTGTCAAAGATTAAAGAAAGGAAAGGAGTATTTGGTAAACACAGGAGACAAACAGTGTAAAATTGACCCTCTACTAATGCTCTAAAAGGCGTAAGACGTAACGAGGCGGCACGACCAAGCTCGAGGCCTTTGAAGCCTAGGTGGATTTAGGCAAAGGCTAGGTGTGAACAGAAATTTTAGTTTTGTAAGAGATACTCCGTATATGCAACTTTAGTGAGTATTATTTTAATTTTCCTGCTATTATTTCATGGGTATATGTGATATTACAAAATAACACATACAAAATTACACTTATATGAAAACATTTTACGTTGTGATGGCGTATAGAAATCCATGCTGGATTACTGACATTTTGCCTCTTAAAATCGAGTAGTAAACTGGAGTAGTACTTCGTATCAGGTTCCATCCAGTATAAACACCTTTCTCCACGCCTATTGACTAGGTGAGTCATTTTGTAGGCGCATCAAGTCTAGGGTCAACTAGATGGCGCGTTTTCGAGCTTTTTTAAACACTGGACGGAGGTATTAATATTTACTATCGTATTTTTTTTAAAAAAATTGAGGCCCTAAATAAATGGGCGCCCTTGGCACATGCCTAGGGCAACTCCCATATCATTAATTACATACTCCGTAGTCCGTATTATTATTTATGGGAAAGTTCCCGAAATAGGACTAAATAAGTTTAAAAATTCCAAAATAGGACTGTCATGTTTTTATTCCCAAAATAGAAGTAATTACTGTCAAGTTTAGAAAATACTGTCATCTTTAAAGCCTGGTACTGCCAAAACATGACAGTAATTAGTCCTATTTTGGGAATAAAAACATGACAGTCCTATTTTTGGAATATAGAAGTGCTTTTAATCCTATTTAGGGTAATTTTTCGTTATTTTATCAAGCAACTATTTTAATTCAGTCAATCTTCTTTTTTGAAATATAATAACCATTATTACATACTATTATTTTATCAAGCAACTTCTTTAATTCATGTTTTTTGTAAGTAAGCTAGTGTGGTTTTGAAAAAATTATTTCCAATGAAATATTAAAAGGGGTTTTTCCTAAAACATTACTAATAAAAAAGTCATGCACAAAAATATAGCGTGGTATATTAGAAATTATAATTGTGTGCAAAGTCATGAAAGATGGGGACAATGTTCTAAAAGGCGCTACGAATTAGTCGAGCCCTAGCTTAGCGCCTGGGCGGTGTATTAAATAATACTCCCACGTCCCGCTAAGATTGTCCCCATCTTTCATTTTCGGTTCATCTGAGTAAGATTGTCTCATATCAAATTGGTAAATTTTTTGTGATTCTAAATCATTTTTACTTTACTCTTACTTTATCAATTCAATATCAGCCACATAAACTAACTTTTCTTAATAATCGCACCACCTCCTCATATTCCAATGTTAGTGGGATAGAAATAGTAATAACATATACTCCGTATGTAGTAAGATTTTATACAAACATGTATAGTTCTTAACCTACGGCTAATAGCTTTCTTTATTTGCTTTGTTAAAGCTACAGTTACATATATCTCTTAGAAAACTAAAATAAAAATAAAAACAAACATTCGGCCAATCTAGATGCCCTAGACAGTCGATTAAGTGCTCTGGGCAGCCAAATAGGTCATAGATAACCGACTAATTCACCTAGGTGCCAAACCAATTAATTTGGGCGCTCGACCACCACCTAGCGCCTAGGCATGGACTAGTCGGGCGCGCGTCTAGAGCAATTTTTAGAATTGTTCATCATAGTGACTACTGACTACACATATAGTCTCTGCGATGTAACTTTGAACACAATTATAGTAAATAATAGTTACCAAGTCATATTTTTGTCTATTACTTTTCTAGAAGTAATAGTGAAAAATTTTCATAAAAAAGTGTAAATTTTGTATGTATATTACGTAGTATGTAATATCACATATACATATGAAATAATAGTAGGAAAGTTAAAATAATACGGAGTAGTAAAAAACTAAAACGCTTTTTTCACGCTTAGGCCTCGCCTAAATTCCCTTAGGCTTCAAAGGCTTTAGGTTTGGTCGTTCCGCTTCGGCATGCCTTACGTCATTTGGAAGATAAAGTATATGTGATTGATATTGAATTGATAAAGTAAGACTTAGGTAAGAATGAATTAGAACAACAAAATTTTTATCAAATTTGGAATGAGACAATTTATTGGGATAGATAGAAAAGGAAAATTCTTTCTTTTTCTTATTAACGGGGCCAAGGGAGTACTATTTCTCCTAAAAAAAATAAGCTCTTTGTTTTCCTTTTTGGGTCATTCTAAATTGATCTTTCCATTCATTTTGAGAATTTAAAAATATGAGTTTTATCATTTTACTTTTTCTACTCAATTCTCAACTACATATTCTTTTTTATCAACTTTATTAATTAACATGTCAATCCAAGCAAAATGTTTAATTGAGGATGAAACTAAAGGGGATATCATTAGTATAGCATACCATTAGAATCTATGTAGCATTTTAATTTATACATACAATTAGACAAACATTTATTATTTAAAATTCAAAAAAAGAATATACTTTTATGGTTTGAAAAATATTTCATTTGAACATATCGTTTGAAAATACTGATCGATTGTTTTTATTTTCGCTTTTTGTTTCCTTTTTCTTGTTGTTTGATTTTCTAAATACATGTTATTATTACATATAGATGTAGAAAAGTACAATTCAGCATTCATGATATTTTTACTTGAATTTATTTGTCTCAGACTAATCCAGATCAGGTTAGATCAAACTTAAACAGACCACACATTTACAGTTATAAAATACGCAGAGACAAAACATCTACCTGATCAGATCAAACAAGACCACAAAATTTTAGTCCAAATAAAAACATTCTTATTGCGTGATTATATTGTTACCTTTGTAGTAAAGAGACATAATTCTTTTTATAGTTGGTATTATTAATAAAAGGTAAAAATGTACAGGTTGTTTGGCAACACTGTTTTTCGGCTTATCAGACTTATCACCCAACTTTTTCACCAAACACGCAACTTTTGCTTTTGCGCGCTGAATTGTGTAATAAGCAGAAAAAGTAAGGTTGGAGTTACTTTTCTAGCTATATTGGCTGAAGTTACTGTAGATGACCATTTTAGCTATTTTTACATATACTTTTTTCTTTATTTTATTAATAAAATATTTTTTAAAAATATTTTTTTCTTAAACCAGCAGAATCAGCCAATGCAACCACTTCAGCTAGAACTTCATAAATTTAAGCAGAATCAGCCAAATCAGCCGATTTTGGTGCTACTAAACGGGCTCGTAGTCTGCCTCCGAATTATGTAAAAAAGATTAGACGGTGGATACAAAAGATAAAGTATGAAAAAAAACCAGTAGACTTTAATTCGAAATGTGTTAGTTTTGAATAGAAAAGAAATAAGGTGTATTTGACAAAATGACGTAGATCAGTAGATGCAGTATTTTGGAGCTAGAAAATATATTTTAAAAAATTCTTATGCAATGTCCCTATCTCCCTATGCAATGTCATCTTCAAAATTGTTTCTATGGTCCTAGCTAACAGACTCCAAAAAATACTCCCAAAGTGCATTTCAAGTGAACAACCGGGCTTCATATCAGGTCGTTCTATCTTAGATAATGTATTGATTGCTAGTGAGATAATACATTATCTAAAGTGCAAAACAAGAGGAAACAGGGGTGCAGCGGCTCTTAAGATTGACATAAGTAAAGCGATGACCGAGTTGATTGGGGTTATCTTTTCTCTGTTCTTGAGAGGATGAGTTTCATCTTGAAATGGATTTCCTGGATGAAGATGTGTGTGACTACAGTAAGGTACATGGTTGCATTAATGAAGAAAAGGTGGGACCAATAGTACCTCGGAGAGGCTTGCGGCGGGGGGATCCGTTATCCCCCTATCTGTTCATCTTGTGTGCAGAAGGGTTATCGGCTCTAATTCGCCAGTACAAAAGAAGAGGTGCTATGCATGGAATAAAGATATGTAGAGGAGCTCCAATGATTAGTCATCTCCTTTTTGCGGATGATAGTTTCTTGTTCTTTCAAGTAGAGGCGAGTGATGCACAAGTTAATGATATCTTAAAAAGCTACGCCTCAGCTTCGGGACGATACATTAACTTTCAAAAGTCTGAATTATTTTTTAGCAGGAATACCGAGGCATCAAAGAGGGCCCAAATTGCGAATATTATTGGAGTGCGTGAAGGTATGGGTACTGGTGTTATTGGGCTTCGTTGTATATTTTGTAGATTAGCCTTAGTTGTATTTCATGGGCCAAGGGCTACTAAGGGTTATCTTTGTATCTATAAATATTGTAATCTTCTTATGCATAAGATAAGATAGATTGGCTCCCAAATTATAACTTCGAATATACTTCAGCCGTACTCATAGCCGAATATGGTATCAGAGCAGCGCATGTAATGCCCTACGCATTATTGACGGAAGCAAAAACAAAGAGAATGAAGCCAGTGTCTTCGTCTTCTACCTTTGCCATGACTGACCCGTCTATCCGGCCTAAAGGACCTCCTGCCGGACAAGGAGGTACTACTCGTGCACATGCTATGTCTTCGGCACCAGGCAGCAGCAGTGGACCGAGTTTTGGAGCGAACCAGGCAGCAACGATCCCCGGTAGTGGGACCGGCAGTGGGACAGCCCCATCTGGTGAGACAAACGTACTAAACGAATTAACTAGGGAACAAGTTCAGGCACTTTTGAATTTGATTAATGTTGCTCCTACTTCATGTGATCGCATGCCGGGTACGTTTACTTCTTTGCCTTGGATTATTGATACCGGGGCATCCCACCACGTC